TCCTGTCTATGACCCCTTTCTTCAGCCCTCTTATTCTCTTCGACATGCAGTTTGTGTCCACCTTTTAGGTGCTTTAATTTGCCTTCCCAGTTAAACCTCAGAGCTGCCACAAGACTTTTAGTCATTTGGAGTCTGTTCTTACTGGCATAGAAACAAAACATGGATGTTAAGACACTGGCCTCCTGCCTGTGCTTTCGCCACCCTAACTCCTGCACACGGTCCACCACCAGGCTCCACTGACATGGCCTCTGATGGCTGTGCCGCCGTCAAACACCCTGACGTGGAGGCATAGCCTCCGTTAGCAGCCATCATGGGTGCTGCAGGTGCTGCGAACTTAGTAAGAGCAGGGGCTGTCTTATTCTCAGCTTGTAGTTGGGGCCCTGGAGCCCCTGTCCAGGAGTCAGCATCCACTGTTGTTCTTGGGGTGCAGCTGGCTTTCTGGCGTTGCCCTCTCCACTGATCTGGGTGGCATCCGAGAACACTGAATGGGTTGAGCTTCCTGGAAGCAGGTGCCTCCTGTGCCATCCAGACATGAGACAAAGAGCATCCAGGGCCCACCAGCAGGCCCTGCCAGTGCCGTGTCTGGGCTATCCCAGGCACATCTTGGGTAGACCACAGCAAAGGGGTGGAGTAGCAGATGGCTGTTTGGGGGTCCACCCCTCTCCAGTGCCAACATCCTGGACTCTGCCTTCCACACTGCAGCCAGAGAGGTGTGAGGAGGCCGACCTGATTGTGTTACATGTTCTGGTGACAGCACACCAGCAGACTGCCATCCCTGCGGGGTGTGTGAGCTCCGTCCTGGTGTGCAGTGGATGTGCACACACACATGTTGTTACTCTGCCTCTACACTCTGTCTACCCCAGTTGTTGATCACATACTTTGGACCTTTACTCCATTTACTCAGTGTAGAGTGCCCATCTCTATCCTGCTGGTCCCGGGAAGCCCTTAGGCTGAGCTTGATTCCCCCGTAAAGGCCAGCACCGGACCCCATCCTTGGGGGCGGAAGTCCCCTGTGTCCGCACTGCTCGCTTAGTGAGGTGCACGTTGTACTGAAGTCGTCCTCACTGCTCTGTCTCCCCACGGTGACGCACAACAGGGCAGGGACAGACTCCCTGTCCACACAGGTGCAGTCTCCCCACCTGCCCCCCGACACGCACACACTGAACTAGAGGGACCTCTGGCTGTCCAATAAAGGGTGCTTAGGTTGTGCAGGCTAAGGACCAGTTTGGGTTGTTCAAAAGAAGGAGCTACAGAGAAAGGCTGGATGTGGCATGCTTCAGAATATATGTCATCCACCCCCAGGCCTCGTGAGCACGCCTGGATACATCAGTGAGTTGTCTGGCATCTGCAGCAGGGACCCGTGGATTGGGGCCAGGGAGCGGTGCAGAAAAAGAACAGGGAGGTACTTGAAAGCTCCGCTGGCCCATCCAAACCTGCTGCCTTCAAAAAGTTTGTGGAAATTAGGGATCAGAAGAAGTCTGTTGGGTGCAAAACTTTGATAACGCACGTGTTTTGAAGACCCCCTTAGTCCTAAGCATTCCTCATATATTCTTTCAGTAAAGATGGCTGGTCCCCTACTATGTGGGATTTGTGGGCGTGTCCCCTTTGGGTGTCCCACAACTCCAACGGGGCTGGTGGAGGACGCGGACAGGGACCTGCAGCTGGTGTGTGGCCCAGCCAGACTTGGCCCCATGCAGCCCCGGGCTAAACCTGGGTTCTGAACTACTGTGCTCCAGTTTAGTCCTCTCAGAAGGCTGGTGGCAAACAGCCTCCCTTGTTTCCCGCAGGTCACCTCCCAGTGGAAGTCTGCCAGTCACCATTCCCTTCTGGCAAACTCTTATAGAAGCCTACTGGTTGTCTTCGTTTCTTTCAAAAACTGCATGTATCCTGGAGGGCTAGTCCGTCAACAGGCCAAGGAGAAGACAGCAAATCTGCCCTGCACTGAACTCCCACAAACGCCCTGAGCATCGGCAGCACCCCTCTTGATTCTTTTTAAGGGATTTATTTATGTATTTGAAATGCAGCGTGAGAGAGAGGCACAGGAGAGCTGTTCCATCCACCAGCTTACTCCCCACATGGTGTGCTGTGGCTCGGGTGGTCCAGGCTGAAGCCAGGAGCCCACATACCATCCTGTTCTCCCAGACGGGCTGCCAAGCACTTGGGCCATCCTCCACAGCCCTGCCTGGTGTCTTAGCTGGGAGCCGGGTGAAAGGCAGAGCTGTTGGGACTTGGTCTGGCTCTCAGATCTGAAAGGCTGATGTCACAGGTGGTAGCTTAACCCACTGCACCACAATACCAGCTCATTATATTTTTTTACTTCTAAATTCCACAAATGTGAGTGTTGGAAGATAGAGACAGGATGGAGTGGGTTGGAAGTGAATCTGTATGTGGGAGTGAAAGAAGTGATGGTGAGAAAAAAATAATTAATAGTTGGGGTATGTGCAGATCCATGTTATGTAACAGGAGTCCTATTTTAGTTGGAATGAATCATTTTTTTTTAAGATGGACGTTAAAAGGCTATGTCTGTTTTCGTGCTAAATTGGAGGAAGCATGTGGACATAAAGCAGACAGAAACACCTCCTGCTCTCCCATCTTGTCCCTGCGGACCTACTCCACGCTCAAACATGTCCCAGGAGTGTCTGTGACTGCCTCACTTTTTAAATAAAGTCAAATAAATTAGATGAAGCAGCAGTAATAATTGATTTGAAGTTCCAGATTCACAGGCTTGTGTGAAAGAATCCAGTCTGTTTTTAAATTCCAGCCCATGTGCGTTTTTGTGAAAGGTGTGCGGTCAAAGGCTGATGCACAGCTGTGGCAATAAATAATGCAGCGTTTCAGCAGAAGCCATGCCATCGCAACTGAACCTTCTCAGAACGCTTTGGAGTTTAGTAGAGATTCATACAGTTTGGGTGTTCCCAAACTGCGTTTCTTCATCTGGAAGAGATGGGGCCCTTCAACGGAAGCCCAACTGCAGGGCCAGGCACAGAGCAGGCACATAGCGTGGCCGTCCCCACAGGACCCATCGGAACATCACAGCACCTGCTGGACAGGGCTCCTGCTGGCTGCCCTGTGTCCAGGCAGATGCAGCAGTAAGCCGGGTGGAGTGTCTCCAACTCCAAAGTCCAAGTTGCTTTCGAAGCCAAAATGCAGAGAGCCGCAGCTGCAGGGTGTGGCAGGTGCACCTGTGCCACCTCTGGCACAAGTCACATTCAACACACACCAGGAGCTGTGTCTCCAGGTGACGCACGTAGATGGGAGGGACTCCTTGCTCAGCTTGGGATCCCATTCCCAGGAAGCCTCAGTGCATCCACGCAGATATTGCACAAATTCAGAAATGCGTGAACTCTGAAATAATTCAGTAAGGTGTGGTACATCACAGTCGGTTGGATACATAATAAATCAGTACAAAGGTGACGCTCCTCCTTACGCGGCATCGCAGTCACTGGTTCGAGCAGGAATCATTCATGGATCTTAGAAGCGGGGTATTCACATCTGAAGGCTAACATGGTATGTTAAGCGTCTTACAGACCATCCCCCATGGAATACCTTTTTTCACAAGATGCAGATTGGAAACTCCATGATGGAGAAACCTGGCAGGTGCCACTTGAACCAAACAGCTCGGTCAGCATCCCCAGCCGTGGGTGGGGTACCCATCAGCGCCTCACACAGGAAATCTAAATAAACAAGGGCAGGGCGCCCCCTCTCTGCTCTCCCTGGAGCGCCTGCCGGGCTGGAGGAGTAAGGGCTGCTTTCTCTCCTCCCACCGCTCCGGCGCCCTGCTCGGTAGCTGCTTTCCAGGGCTGATGTCCTATAGTTCTTTGTCCGCCATTGCCTCCTGCCAGGACTAAGGCCCTTGCGGGCTTCAAGGGAGAAGTGGCGGGGGTGGGGGGAGGGGGAGGGCGGGAGTGGCAGTCAAGAGCTCTGGCTGTAATCACCAGGCAGCAAGGGCCTGCCCCTGAACTGCTGACCACAGAGAAGCCACCCAAACCCCTGGATCTCAGTTTCCCCACCCGCACAGTGAAGGACCCGGACCCGCTGGCCTCCCAGGCCCTCCTGGCTGCTGCATCCTGTTGATTGGTCACACCTCCTGATGAGCCTGCAAAAAGCTGAGCTGGGCTGCAGCCCGTGCTGGGGGTGCCCAGTGTGGACCAGCCCTTCAGGCTTTCAGGACCTTGCGTTTGTCACATTCACCACGAGGGTTTTTATAAACTCAGTTTGCTGATAGCATGCTCAGCAGTTTGTGTATTCATTCTCTCCCATGGCCGGTGTGTATAGCACCTGTAGTCCAGGCCTGTGCCAGGCATGGGAGGGATCTTTGAGACAAATAGCACCCTAAAGCCCCAATAGAGCAGTTTTTGGGATTTTTTTTGTTTGTTTTTTAAGATTTATTTATTTTTATTACAAAGTCAGGTATACAGAGAAGGAGAGACAGAGAGGAAGATCTTCCATCTGATGATTCACTCCCCAAGTGAGCGCAATGGCTGGTGCAGTGCTGATCCGAAGCCGGGAACCAGGAACCTCATCCAGGTCTTCCACGTGGGTGCAGGGTCCCAAGGCCTTGGGCTGTCCTCAACTGCCTTCCCAGGCCACAGTCTGACTCCCAGTTAGTTGCATGTATTTGGTTAGTCAATAATCCTTGCGCCTCTGTCTTTGCACCTCTCCAATGGGGAGCTCAGACTCGCTCTGCAGCTGGCTCTGCCCACCTCCCAGGGCCGTGACCCTGAAACAGGAGGACGGAGCACAGGGCTTTACAAATATGTGGTGGGCCTGCACATAGGAGGAAGGAAGGGTTTGGGCAACTATAAAATGTTCCAGTGCCTGTACTCTCTTCTGCCCTCTACTGGTTGTGCTGATGTAGTGTTAAAGAACATGGGACTAAATGGGATGGGGAGTGGGCACATGGGGCCCCCTGCTTCCGTGGAGCCTTTTGACACCGGCAGTGGTGTGTGGCCCCCTGCCGGCCCTTGACAGTGTGAGTGACCGTGATCTTGTCCTCCCAGTGCACCAGGTGGCTGAGCGCGTGGAGGCCCTGGGCCAGTTTGTCATGAAGACGAGAAGAACCCTCAAAGGCCATGGGAACAAGGTCCTGTGCATGGACTGGTGTAAGGACAAGAGGAGGATCGTGAGCTCATCCCAGGTACGGCCCGGGTGCTAGCAGGTGAGCAGGAAGGAGCTGTCTTTCCCAGAAGCCCCCTGCTGGGCTGTGTGGCCTGGGTTACTGTCTGAAGGAGGGGGTTTGTCCTAAAGAGTTCCAGGGCAGGTAATTCTGGAATTAGCAATAGTTGAAACATTCCAGACTGTACTTGACTTTTTGATGAGCCATTCAGAATTATTCTGTTAAAAATTTAAAGATTTATTTCATTTATTGGCAAGGCAGAGAGAGACAGAAAGTGGTCTTCCATCTGCTGGTTCGTTCCCCATTTGGCTACACTGGCCAGGACTGGGCCAGACCAAAGCCAGGAGCCTGGAATTCCATGCCTGTGTTCAAATGGGACACCATCACCTCAGGCAGCAGCTTAACCTGCGGCACACAACAGCAGCCCACAGGTTAATTTCTTGATGAGTGCATTCTAGGGCCTTATTTGTGAATGAAACCATCTTTAAAACAATCTCCTTTTTTCTTTTCCTAATTGATGACATACATGATTGAGAGATCACTAATGGCATTCTCTCAATTTTAGAGTGAATCCATTCTTTTTCTTTTAAGATTTATTTTTTATTTTTATTGGAAAGACGGATATACAGAGAGGAGAGACAGAGAGGAAGATCTTCCGTCCGATGATTCACTCCCCAAGTGAGCGCAACGGGCCGATACTATGCCGATCCGAAGCCAGGAGCCTCTTCCGGGTCTCCCACGTGGGTGCAGGGTCCCAAAGCTTTGGGCCGTCCTCGACTGCTTTCCCGGGGCACAGGCAGGGAGCTGGAAAGGAAGCAGGGCTGCCGGGATAGAACCGGCGCCCATATGGGATCCCGTGCGTGCAAGGCGAGGACCTTAACCACTGCACCATCGCGCCGGGCCCTGAATCCATTCTTAACGTCTGAAAAAACAAATTCGAGATACATGTTTTGTAAAGTGTAATTTTGCCATTCATTTGATATAGCTTGCATAATTCATCTTATATATTAGTTGTCCTTTGCTGTATAAAAAGACCACCCCCTTCTTTCCAGGTTAGCGGCTTGAAACCACCAGGATTTCTTCCTGCTAGCATCTTCTGAAAGTCAGGGATACTGAAGCCACCTGGCTGGGGCTGCTCCGGCGGCCGTGGACATGCTGTGGGTTTGACTAAAGCTAGACTCAGCCACAGTGGGCCTGGGGCTGCTGGCCAGAGGCCCTGGGTGCTGGCCCTGTCCCCTAGCCTGCCTCCAGAGCAGGTGATCAGAGCCATCCCGGGTTGGGTGACTAGGCCAAGGCAGTGATGTGCCGTCACTTCTGTTCTCTTCTGTGGGTCACACAGACCAACCTTGCATAAAGAAGGAGGTTCTGCAAAATGTGGCCAGCAGGGGGCTAGGGTGGTCGGCTTCTCCCAGAGGCCGACTCCCATGGCTTGCTGCTTTTTTATGGCACACTGTTAGACACAAACCAAAGTCCATGAGAGTCAGAACCTCGCATTTTCCTGGGTAGTGTCGGTTTCCTCCCGTACCGCCTTCTGCTCATCTTTTTCAGATGAGGGCTTTTCTTTTTCAGTAACCCTTACAAGCACAAAACTGACCATACTCCAGATAATCCACAAGCTCTAGCATCTGCCAGTATTGTGTTGAGTAAGACAAGGGTAACACATTTCCTGTATTCCCTGCAGATCTCAAATATCACACTACGTTTGCAATTTATTTTGTGTCTATGAGACAGTTATGGTTATGTTTGCCTTTTAAACAAACACTCATGTTGTGGCATAGCATGTAAAGCTTCTACCTGTGGGACCAATGACCTGTATGGTTCACTTCCTTGCCTCTCCACTTCTAATCCAGCTCCACACTAATGCACCTGACAGATTAGTGGAGGGCGGCCCGATGCTTGGGTCCCTGCACTCACACGGGGGACCTGGAAGAAACTCCAGGCTCCTGGCTTTGGCTCAGCCAAGCCCTGGCCATTACAACCATTTAGGGAGTGAGCCAGTAGATAGAAGTGTGCTCTCTCTCTCTCTCTCTGTAACTCTGACTTTCAAATAAATAAATATTTTATAAAATTAAAAAAGGAAAAACACTGGAAAAGAGAAAACAAAGCTTTCATTTCTCACCGCCTTTTCACAACTAGAGCCTGTCTAGTTCTGAGTTTTTTCCTCCCATGATTGTTTTTACAGAGTGGTTGTCAAGATGTGTTTGTTGCCTTTATGCATCCTCTGAAGTGTGCCACACGCTGGGTTTCCGTGGCTTACACGCAGCTCTTACTGGAAGGGGAGGGAGCAGGAAGGGCGGTCACGGTGCCCTGGCATGCCCTGTCCCCTCCCGGTGCCGCAGAGAGCTGGGACGTGGGCGGGAGCTGGAGGGGAGGCGGGAGAACACGGGGACCCTGGAACAGACTCTGACTCATCAGCCGCCTTCTCCCTTACAAGGCAGGAGATTAATCAGCCCAGCCAGGTGGGCCAAGGGTTTGCGGGGGTGGAGGCCCCTTCCCTCCAGGTTTGGAGGTCCCAGGCATCTCAGTCTGGGCTCATGGAGTGTACAGGATGGGTAGGCCATGGGTAGCCAGGCAGTGGCGTGAAGGAAGCCCCTAACATGGACTGGACTCCCCTCACCCAGTGGACCAGGGCACAGATACAAAGCACCTGCCCTGCACACCTACTGGTCTACCCCACATATCATCAGTTATGAGCCTGAGTCAGAGAAATTGACCAGAAGAACCAACATGCATAGGAAAGGCCCAGCACCAACTGTGACTTGCTGTGGAGGGGCAGTCCTTCCATCTGCCCAGACACCCTCATGGGCAGGGACCACCCTGCACAGGGCTCAGCTCTGTAGGAATCAGAGCTGCTATAGGGTCCTCTCTGGAGGGTCCATATTGCAAACAGATGATACTCCCCACTGTCCCAGGAGTGGGCTGCAGCTGTGGTTACTTGGTTACTATGACAACAGTGGCAGGGCTGCCTGTGTGTCACCAGCCTGGTGCCCACCCAGCGGAGAATGCTCCTTAGTCACAGCCCAGCTGCCCACAGGCCCTGCGCCTCCCCAGGCACACGGTTTGCCCCATCCTTGGTGGAGGTAAACAGTGAGAATGGGGATCTTCAACATCTGGGAGCACTTGTAAACATGAGGCTGATCCTGGCCCCACTGGGGGCAGAGGATGGGGGACTTAGGGTACACACCAGCAGGGAGCCTGCACAACAGGGTCCCCAAGAGAGGGATGGCAGGGAAGGGATGGGAAGGGAAAGGCTTCCTGTTTACCTGGCAGGTGCCCACAGGTGGCTTCAGGTTTTTCTTCCCCTGAATAGCTGTTGGTATTTGGGTATGGGGGCTGACAATGGCGCACCAGCAGCCTTGCTTGGTGGGCCGGTGGTTTAACAGAGGGGCTGGACCCTGCTGCCTGTAGTTGCAGCTCTGCAAGGGATGTGGGGCAGAGGACCGGGCCTTTAGCCAGGCTGGCAAGTTCAGTACCACCTCCCTCCTGGCCTTTGTTGAGAGCAGCCCACAGGGTCTGGGTTGGGTGGGAACTTGCTCTGGCCTTGAACTCGCACTGGCATCCGCAAGGGATTCGTGGCGGTCCTCTGTGAGCACTTGGAACATCCCCTGACCTCTCTTCTCTTCTCCCCGCCCCCAGGATGGAAAGGTGATCGTGTGGGATTCCTTCACCACCAACAAGGTGAGGCCTTGCCCCCAGCTGATCCTTCTGGTGCCCTGACCCGGGACCCAGCCCTGTCCTGACTGCCCCTCATGTCCCCCTGCAAGTGGTCCTTCTGCTCTCTCAGGTTAGAAACGCCCGGAAAGTTTGTGCATGCTGCAGCAGCCAAGCCAGACCCATGCTGCGTTTTTCATTTCTTCTCAGGATGCCACCTCCCGCCCCGCATGCCAGCAGGGCCAACCTGGAGGGTGCAGACAGGAAAATGCAAGAGGGTGTGCGTGGGGAGCACGTCCCCTTTGCACTGTAGCTGCGTTGCTTATTTATAGCAGCCCTAAGATTCTAGGTCACATGTGCCCACTTTGGCTTTGCCCAGGCTGCGTGGCACTGTGGAAACACACATGTGATAGGCAAGGCAGGGGAAGCTGCAGTGGGGCTCATGAGCCGCCCTGCAGGGCTGTAAAGTCTGAGCCCTTTGTAAATCCTACCCTGGGCATGCGCAACTCAAATAAGATCCAGGTCTAGTCTCTTGGGACCAAGGCTGCAGTCTGAGTATGGATTCGCTTGCACACCTGTGTGCCTGTGGGCGTTTGCAATAGAGTTGCATATTCAATATGGATTCCAGTGTTTACTTAGGAAGAAACCCCTTCCTTCTTGCTCTGTTTCAAGAAAAGGAGGCCCGTGTCTCAGCTCTGCATTACTATGAGTAGGTCACGCAGTATCGCGGGTGGCCCTGTCAAGTGAGGATACAAAACCACTTTTCAGAGAGGGGTCTGTAACAGTCAGGTACCTGGGGGGGTAGTAGAAACAGCTGCTTACCCATTGGCCCAGGGCATTCTTGTGTGTCACCTGCTACTGTAGGGAAGTGCACGCGAGCCCCTGCCTCTGACCACACCCCTTGGCATCTTCCTTCCAGAACGGGCTGGGTGGGCTTGCGTTGCTTCTGTCTCTACACGGGCATGGCAGGGAGCACATTCTGATGGTTGGAATGCCACGAGGGTGTGCTGTGGACCCTGGCCAGGAAGGTGTCCTGCGGAAGAGTGGCCACTCCATTCACACAGAGACCACAAGAATTGTGGCAGGCAGTGTTGCAGCCTAGGTTTGTCCCACAGAAGAACAAAGAACCAGAATAGGAAAGAAGGCCTGCCCATGCATGTAGTTGGGGAGGCAGTGTGAGGGCCAGGCAGGAGCAGCAGGCCGACTGTGTGGGGTCACATCTCCCTAGAGTTGGGACCAGGAGCAGAGGCAACCAAGTCCTACACAGAAATAAGGCAGATGTGCTGACAAACGGGATCGCAGATTGTGGCGCAGGCAGGGGCACCCCAGCCAGAAGCCAGGGGCTGCTGCACTTACTGCCCCGTGCTCCCACTTCTACTTCTGTGAGTGTCTCTGTATCACAGGAGTGCAGCCCAAGGCTGCCCCTCTGGGAATGGCTTTAGGATGCTGTCATACGTACACATGTGGACAAGCTCAGGGTCTATAGAAAAAGCCCCCCAAGAATCTGAGCTCATTAGGCCAGGGAACTCGGTACTGCCTTTTAGGGAAAGGAGCGTTGGTGTTCACCCGGGGGCACGAAGGGGCTCAGAGCCAAGAGAAGCACAGCGTCAAGGGCCAGTTGCCCAGCTAGCTGGGAGTGTCACCACACCGCAGGCACTCCTGGGACATGCCGTTTGGTTGTGTGTGGTGAGACTGGGTCTCCTTGTCATTCTCAAGCCCACCTTTACACCACACACTTCCCTTTGAGACCACAGTGAGTGCATTCCTCAGGCGGGGCCTCGGATGATTTTGTTGGGTGAAACTTAGCTGTGAAGCGTTTAGCATAGCGGCTTCTGTCGTTGCGCCGTCACTGTCCCTGTTACGTTTCAGGAGCATGCGGTCACGATGCCCTGCACGTGGGTGATGGCGTGTGCCTACGCCCCGTCTGGATGTGCCATTGCTTGTGGGTAAGTTGGGGCTACAGCGACTTTCAAGGCCTCCTGGTAGCCACAAAGTGCCGTTCTCTTGGCAGAGGGCAGCAGGCCAGCAAGAGCTTGTCATCTCAGAGCTTGCCAAGCAGTGTGTTCACTCCCTCCCTGAACTTCCAAAAAGAAGAAATCCCAAAACTCTCTCATGGTTCTTTTCATGGAAGAAGGGACAGAAGCTTAAGTTCCTAACCCATCCCTGGCTCTCTCCCTTGCTGTTGGCGGGGCTGTAAACCAGTGTGGACATTTCAGAAAACCAAGCTGGTCATGTGTGCCAGAAATGTGTAACCTTTGACCTAGAGACACATCTAGAAACTTGCTAGAAAGGGGTGATCCAGGGAACAGTGTGCTAGCCTAGTGGCTAAAGTCCTCACCTTGCATGCACTGGGATCCCATTTGAGTGCCAGTTCTAATCCCAGCTGTTCCACTTCCCATCCAGCTCCCTGCGTGTGGCCTAGCAAAGCAGTGGAGGATGGCCCAAAGCCTTGGGACCCTGCACCTGCGTGGAAGACCTGGAGGAAGCTCTTGGTGAACCAGCAGATGGAAGAGATTTCTTTCTGTCTCTCCTTCTCTCTGCAAATCTGACTTTCCTATAAAAAGAAAAAAAGGATGATCCAAAACTCAAGAAGTCCATATGAACAACATTGAAATGATTATTTATTTTCATTTTATCTAAAAGGTGGGGATGTGGAGGGAGATTTGATTCTCCTTCTTTACGCTGGTTCCGTCCCCAAATGCTCAAAAGCAGCCAGAGCTGAGCCATGCCAGAGCCAGGAGCCAAACCTCAGTCTGAGAGTAGCACTTGGCTGGCTGGCTCCTGAGGCGCATCAGCAGTGAGCTGGAGTGAGAAGCAGACCTGGCACCTCTCCTGGGCAGCAGTGTGACCGCCGTACCACACACCTGCCCTGACCCTGCATTTCTGATTGTGGCTGTGACACAGCGTCTCCCTGCCTGGGCATGGAGCATCCCGCAGCTCCAGGGTTGCATGGATCTGCCTGTGCTGCTATGTTTTGTTTTGTTAAGATTTTGTTTCATTTTATTGGAAAGTCAAATATACAGAGAGGAAGAGAGGAGGAGAGACAGAGAAGAAGATCTTTCACCTGCTGATTCACTCCCCAAGTGGTCGCAATGGCTGGAGCTGAGCCAATCTGAAACCAGAAGCCAGGAGCCTCTTCAGGATCTCCCACACAGGTGCTGTGTCCCAAGGCTTTAGGCCATCCTCGACTGCTTTCCCAGGCCACAAGCAGGGAGATAGATGAGAAGTGGAGCTACCGGGATCAGAATCAGCGCCCACATGGGATCCTGGTACTTGCAAGGCAAAGACTTTAGCCACTGGGCTACTGCACCGGGCTTGTTACTGTTTTTAAAAAAGATTTATTTTCTTTTCACTTGAAAGTCAGAGTTTAAAAAGAGGAGTAACAGAGAAAGAGATCTTCCTTCCCAAACAGCCACAGCATCCAGAGTTGGACTGATCTGGAGCTGGGAGCCAGGGGCTTCTTCTGGGTCTCCAAGATTGAGCTATCCTCCACTGCTTTCCCAGGTCATTGGCAGGGAGCTGGTTGGGAAGTGGAACAGCCAGGACTTTAACCTGTGTCCGTATAGGATGCCAGCACCACAGGTAGAGGATTGGCCTGCTCTGCCCCGCACCAGCCCCGTCACATTTTTATGTCCATCTCTCGTTTGGGTCCAAACTGGAAAGCTAAAACCCCCCAGAGGATTGGTACGATCTGCTTCCATCGGTTGTGATCGTTAAGTATTTCTCACCTACCATATACTTACTGCACACACCTGTGTGCAAGGCACGGACTAACAGATGACTAAAATGCCATCCTCCCTCCAAGCAAGGAGGGACCTTAGAACGTGAGAATGACCCCAGGCCGCACACCCATCAAGTGACACACGTCACTCTGATCTCCTGTAATCACCACAACTGCCCCTTCGATCCGTGGGTGGGCTCTGCCCCATTCATTGCTGGGGAAACAGAGGTCCAGGGATCCCAGAAAGAGTAACCAGGAATGTAAGATTGGTTAGGTCCTGGAGCAGAGTTTCAGCACACGATGCAAACCATCACTACCTCTTGTGACAGTACGAACGACCCTAAGGGAAGAGCAGCCGACTGAGCTGCCGGGAAGTTTGTCTGAGGCTGCTGGGGGGATGGAGGGACACAGCGCTGTCATGGGCCAGGGCAGGCATGGGCCCCAGTGTGCCTCCTTATTCCTGTAGCCCAGGGGTGGCGAGCATCCAACCTGTGGACCATAGACAGCTCTCCAAACCATTTGGTCCAGTTCTCCCGAGGCAAATGCAGGTGGGGCTAAAAACACTACATCTACTGCAGGACAGTTGTTAAATCAATAATCCTATCTGACCCATGAGGGATGTGATAAATACCCAAATGACAGGGAAAAAAATAAAATTCCTCACTCCTGCATAGCCCAAGAGCAAATCCTCCTCACCCAGACCATCTATAAAGGAATCAGCCAGGGCCGATCACCGCTAGCAAGCCAACCAGGTGTCCACCTGTGGCTCCAAGCAGGTGGAAGCAGGCGGGGAAGCCATAGGGACCTCTCACTTCCCCAAGGCCTCAGCATGGAAGGGACCCTCCTCTGTATTGTTTCCTCTTTAAGGCCTCAGGGGACAGAGGCTGATTTTACGGAAGAGATAGAAAGAGAGCAAAGTGAACCTAGAATGCTTTCCTGTTCCTAAAAGTAAGAAATGAGTAAAGACCAACAGGGATCCTAGGAAAATGGCCCAGGAGCTGGCTCCGAGGGGCGCCCATGTCCACATTTGGGACAATTGGAGCCTCAAATGACGTAAATCAAAATGAGCACAGCACAAAGTGCCTGTAGCTATACGGTAACGGGGAGGATGAGTCCTCTTTTCAGAAAACGCAGACAGCAGGTGCAGAGGGCATTGTCAGGTGACAAAATCACTGTTTTGATCCCCCCGGGGTAACATTTGATTCAAACAAAGGTAATCAGGTAGGAAAGGTTGCTGGAGACCAAATTAGAGAGAGAGGGAGAGACAGAAGGGAGAGATCTAGCATCTGCTGGTTCACTCCCCTAATGGCTGTCATTAACTAGGGTTGGATCAGGCAGAAGCCAGGAGCCCAGTACTCCATCCGGGTCTCCTACATGGGTAGCAGGGGCCTATGAACTTGAACCATCAATTGCTGCTTCCCAGGCACATTAGCAGGGGGCTGGATCAGAAGCAGAGCACCTAGGATTTGAACCAGCACTCCATTGCAGGATGCTGGCATTGCATGTGGCTCTTTCACAGCACCAACCCCAGGAAAGAATATTTTCATGGTCTCCAGATAACAGACTATAGGTTATTACTAATCACAAGCAGATTACCTCTGCCTGGGAGAGATACAGTGAGCTACCTGAACCAAGTGATGGAAGCTGGTATCACCAGTCTTCGAACAACAGGTATGACAAGCCCCCTGAATTCCTGCAGTGAGAGAAGTATAGCATACACTCTCACCAAAACTGTTACACATTCCTCACCTGAGAATCTAAACTCTGAGTTTTAGAGTGCCAAACTCAGAATGCCAGCATGACACCCCAGGTGGACCTTACCCACCTCATGTGATACCCACCTTCACGTGAGAGGTCCCCATCAAAACCCAGGCACATAAGGGACTCTGCAGGTAGGGGTGTTTGGCCTGGCAGTCACACTGCCGGGGAGGACCCTGAGTCCCACCTCAGAGAGCCTGGGCACCCTACCCGGCTCCAGCTCAACTGATTGGCTTCCTGCCACCCCCAAGGGGAAGTGGGGTTGAATTCCTGGCTCCTGGCTTTCTGTCCTGGCCGCTGTGGGCATCTGGGGAGTGAACCAGCATATGAGAGTGTGTGTGTGTGTGTGTGTGTCCCCATTGTCTCTCACACACATTTTTAATTTTTGTCAGATACACTGCCGTGTATTACCTTCCTGCTATCTTTATTCCTGTAAGTTGTATATGGAACATATGAATTATATATTTAGGTTTGAATCTTAGCCCCAAGATAGCTCACTATATTGTTTTCGGTTTTTCAAAATACAGTGAAATCCAAAATCTGAAACACTTGTGGTCCCAAACACGTTGGATGAGGAATTCCCAAACCTGGAGTATGAGACTTTCTGTACGTTGTATAACAGCGAGCCCTGGCTGGATGTTTCTAGCCTAGCAGCCACGGTGCCGTGTTGGAGGATGTGGGTCCAGTGCTGGGCCCCGTCCCGACTCCAGCCTCCTGCTAACAGACTCTGGGAAGCAGGTGCAGGTCAGATGATTTGGTTCCTGCCCCTCCCATGGGAGACCCGGAACAAGCTCCCGGTTCCCAAGCACAGCTCCCCAGCCATGGCAGGTGTTTAGAAAGTAAACCTGTGGTTGGAAATGGTCTCCCTCTTTGTCTCCCCTTCTTTCTCAAAAAATAACCTAAGAAGCAGACCTGTGTTCTCTTGCTGGGAATGACCAACAGTGGGCAGGGCTTGTTCCGTAGTGAGAGGTCCGAACGTGGCAGGCGCAGAATGCCTGGGCCCGGGCCAGAGCATAGCGGGAGAACCGAGCATGGGGGCTGCGTGGACGCCTTGTACTTGTCTCAGATGTGAGAATGCATCTTAGGCACGTGGGAGAGTGTTCTTGTGTTAGGATATGTCAGTGTGAAAAACTGAAATGTGAACATCTGAGTTTGCACTCAAATGGTTCACGATTTCTGCCAGACAGATGACAAATTGGTATGTCTGTGAGCCAGGCGAAGGACCTAGCGTGTTCACTGTACTGTCCTTTCTGGTTTACTGAGGCTTTGGAGCCCTTCGGAGAAGAAGGTCGGGGGAAGGCTACAGTACAGGGTACTGGGATTGAAGGCCAATGTTGAGACGTCTGCGTGAATGACAGTGTGCGCATGTCCCACTGCTCTGCGGGAATGACCCCTTGCCGCTTCTCTCTCCCCATGGCAGCGGTTTGGATAATAAGTGTTCTGTGTACCCACTGACGTTTGACAAAAATGAGAACATGGCCGCCAAGAAGAAGTCTGTTGCCATGCACACCAACTACCTGTCGGCCTGCAGCTTTACCAACTCCGACATGCAGGTACGGAGCAGTGAGTCGGGGCGAGGCCGGGCAGGCAGCACCTGCCACAGGGTGTGAGCTGGTAGCTGCTGGGGGAGGAGGCCTTGATTGTGTCTTTCTCAAGATGGGTGTGCCCCAGCAGCTGGCTCTGAGACGAAGCACCTCATCCTTCTGACTGTGGATGTCAGCTTTTAACACAACCGGAAATGAAAGAAGGGGTGGGGTTTACTTGGGGTGGGGATGGGGAAAGCAGAGGGAATCTTCAAGGGTGGAAGGCGCAGTCTCCCAGGCTCCTGTGCATACATGGACCTGCGTGAGGCTTCCCTGAGCTGCCACATGCCACCCCACCAGCACACACACACACTGTCTATAGCTCTATAACTGATGTTCTTCTTTTAACAAATGAAAAAAAGAACAATTTTCCTTTCTTTGCTTTTTTATGGACTTTATTTTTCCTGGAAAGTCAGTTGCAGAGAGAGGAGAGAGAGCTCTTCCATCTACTGGTTTGTACCCCAAATGACCACAGCAGCTGAGTAGACCAAAGCCAGGAGCTTCTTCCTGACTTCCTATGTGGGTGCAGGGGCCCAAGGACTTGGCCCGTATTCTGCTGCTTTCTTGGTCCCTAGGCCTTTAGGTCTTTAGGACAGAGCTGGATTGGAAGTAAAGCAGGCAGGATATAAACCATCCATATGGGATGCTGGTGCCACAGGTAGAAGCTCAGCACCAGGTCCCCAGCCCAACTAAATGTTTCTCTTAGCACCCCATCGTTGATGTATTCAGCAAGTCTTCCTGGGCACCTGCTACTCACATTGCCAACCAGCAGCTGACCCTGGCTCTGGAAACCCAGACATGGCCGTGCGGGATCACAAAACTCAGTCCTGGTTGGACAGTTGGGAGGCACTGGGAGAAGGACAGTCACAGGCTCACTGCTAACCATGAAGTGGTGGTCTGTATGGGAGGGAGCGCAGCCATAGGTGGACAGTTGGGGAGAGGAGGGCGGGGTACAGAGCCAGATTCTAGAACACTCTAAATGCCTGGGCTGGACATCTGGAGCTCTTGCAGAGGTCAGCTGGATTTGGGGTTTTAAGGAGTTAGGCTAAAGTCTTCACAGCTGGCAGGGGGGAGTCCAGGTGGCAAGTGATTGCTCACCAGAGGGGCTGTCTGAGTTGGAGGGGCTCCAGTGGGCTGTGCGTGCACCTACTATTTCAGCCCACCCAGGAACACTGTAGGCCTGTTCAGTAGGGGTGCAGTGTCCCCTGGAGAGTGACAGTGACCTCTCCCAGATGTCCTTTAGCAGAAATCCTTCATGAGCTGGTTCACTCCCCAAATGCCCACAGCAGTCACTTGAGGAGGCTTGCGGCTGGGAACTTAGTCCACATTTCCCATGTGAATAGCAGGGACCTACGTAACTGAGGCTGCTGTCTTCCAGGGTGTCACTAGCAGGATGCTGGGACTGGGAGCAGAGCTGCGACTCAAGGTTGGACTTGAACATGTTAAAGGATGTGGACCCCTCCCCCCAAGCAGAATTTTAACCATGACAAACACCCCACCCTCCTCATAATACCCTCTTGCCTCCAGACTAAGAGTGCAGCTGTGTGCCCCAGCTCACCTCTTGCTGTGCAGACCCCAGCCTGTTGCTGCAGTAACCCGCCTTCCTCCTCCACCTGGTCAGCACTCACTCATTCTTTCAGACCAGACCAGATGTCACCCCACTGGGTTTGGGACCCCTAGAGTCTGCATTTCTCACACCAGGATAACTCATCAGGTCCTGGCCTGCTCATTGATGTCCACGCCCCCAAGCAACTGTCAGAAACACTCACTGTGCAGCAAAGCTGAGTCCACTAAAGCCACAGGAAGGAAGGGAGAAGCTCAGCTCAGCAGAGTCTGAGTGGTGTCTCACAACGGGGAGAGGAGCAAAGGGCCTGTACGGGCTTGCAGAGGCCAGGCTGGGTGACCTGAGCTTGGGACATGCAGGCATGGGCAACACTGGTTTATGACCCAGCAACTTTGACTTGGTGACAGGAGGGCAGCCCGGCACCATCAATGACAGAGGCAGCCCCCCCTGCTCTGGGAATAGAAGCCACAGGCGGGTGTATCTAAGGGCTGCCCGGCTGGCTGCACAGCCAGGGAGGTCCTGTGTCCAGCAGCAGTGTCACCCAGGGACTTGTGGGTCCCTCCTCGGGCCCTTCCTGTTGTCTAGCAACCCAGTGACTACCATGCACATGGTGTCTAAGAAGCTCCAAGTGTGTGGCTCGGGGAACAGTGGGAGGTTCCATCCAACCCAAGGTCATGGAGCACTTCTGTGTGCCAGGCAGATGTGGGACCTTGCAGGGGCCACAGCGAGGATACTGGGGTCCTAGCCCCCGAGGGGGACTGACTCTGCCACATATGACTCAAGAACAGTGCCCATGTCAGAAGGCCATTTTTGCCTTCTTGGTGGAAGAGAGATATGTGCTTGAACCCAGAGTGAACGAACTGCGCCTGTGTATGTGTGTCTACACAGAGAGCTTGTTCTTCCCAGTGGAAAAGTCCATCTCTGACTGGCTCACCCTCACCTCCTGGCAGATACTGACAGCGAGTGGCGATGGGACGTGCGCTCTGTGGGACGTGGAGAGTGGGCAGCTGCTGCAGAGCTTCCACGGCCACGGGGCTGACGTGTTGTGCCTGGACCTGGCCCCCTCGGAGACAGGGAACACCTTCGTGTCTGGGGTAAGGACCCAAGGGCAGCCTGGAGGCAGTCTCTGCCCATTGGGGGACAGGGGCTTCAGGCAGCAGCTACCATCCTGCCTTGTGCAGAGTGGGGGGCTGCAGGAGAGGTCCTCAGCCTTCCCTCCCACACACACCCTCAGCGCCCACTGCCGTTAGATGCTGGCTCCAGGTCCTGGCAAGGGCCTCCTCCGTTCTGCCCCTGTTACTCAGCTGCCCACAGAGGCCCTGGAACAGTCTCCTGTGTGAGGCTGCCCTGCATGGTGCACATCTGTCACATTAGAAAGTGTCATTTGCAACTAGGTAGCAGCGACTTTGCCCCTGACAGTCTGCAGAGCCCCTGAGTCCCTGGATCACTGTGAAGGGCCAAGAGCTGTGATGTGATCAGGACTTCAAGGCCCGTGAAACACACCCCTGCAAAACACACACACCACCCTCCCCTGGCTGGCCACTTCCTCCCTCACACCCCGGGCCACAGGGAACAGTGTGTAGATGGAAACATAGACTTAAATGATAAGCTTCCAGTGTTTTTTGAAATCCAGGCGTAGTGTCATCATAGCACATTTTGCATGAACTTCTGGAAGCCCCCCTCTTTCTAGAGGGCTGGGTCAGTGAATGTAGCTTTGAAGACAAAGGCGTGACCTAGCTGGGGCCCAGCTTTGCCATCAGCCACCCCCACCCTGGGCACAGTGGCCCATAGTGCTTCCTGTGCCCCTGCCAGGAAGCCATGAGCAGTGAACATGGAGTTTGTGTGGGCAGAAGGGGCACAGCTCTCTGTGGATGGCCTTGGGACAGGAACAGGGAGCCGGGCATCTGCAGTGCCCTTTGTTCCCTGGGGGAAGACCTCCAGCCCTTCTTCCACAGAGTCAGGGACAGGGCAGTGACCTGGGGGCAGGGCCTGCAGCCAGGGGGCACCCAGGCCCCCTGGGAGTCACACTGGGTGCATGTGGCCTCCCTCCCCTTGGCAGGGCCCCCAGCTGCTTCCTTGACCATCTGTCTACATTTCCTCCCTGTGCCTCTGTGGAGCTGTGTTTCTCCTCTAGTATGCTATTTTAAGTTATTAGTAACATTGTAGGTTATATTATCTCTTATGGAGCACCAACCTCTATACTCATGTGTGTCTGTAAATATCTGAAGGCGCTCCTGATTTCTCTGGCCCCTTTCTTGGAAAGGCTGTCCGGGAGCTGGGCCCTTATTGGGGCAAGTCTTCCTGGGCTGTCGGCCATGGTCCGTCATCCCCCAGCCATGGCTCAAGGGTGAATCAGCAACTCAGACACCAGTTTTAAGTCCCATACTTCTTCCAGGTGACTGTTGAGATCCCACCATTTACTGCATAAGCTTGATAATAGGATTGCTTGGCCAGAATTCATCAAAACGCTTTGGGAACTTTGGTAGTGTTTGATGACAAACATATTTGTCATTCTCTGGGTCGTGTTAACAACCCAAGGATGGCATATATTTTTACAGGTGTCAAGGTGGAGGCCCAGGGAGGTGACCTGCCTGCACTTCCCAGCTGATGAGCAGTGGCAAAGCTGTGGCAAGGGCCTTGGTTTGCTGACATTGGCACCACCCTACTACTGAGGGTACAGGTGGCCCCAGAGCGTGTGGCTCTGCACTTCACATGGAGCTGGGGCTCCTGATTGCACAGTGTCAGCACTATCAACCCACTCAATGAATGTCATGAGTTCAGCTAGGCCCCACCTATATATGCTGTCTGCCGCTGACCCTGGGAGGCCAGTGAAAGGAAAGGAGGGAAGAGAGTAAAGAAAATTACCAGTAGGAAGCCAGCTGGGGGTGGGGGGGGCAGGGCAGGGTTTGCCTCTGCTCAGAAATGTGGAACAGAAGGAAGAATAAAGACAGTGGAAGCCAGATGCCTCCCCGTCCGCCCCCCCCCCCCGCTCCCTCCCACCTGTGACCTTGTTCTGGCTTCCTCAGGGGCCCCAGGTAACATTAGTCTCGGAAGAGTGGGCTGCCAGGCACTAACTGGTAGGAACAGGTGGTCTCTTGCATGCCTGGGACTCATTCCTGCAGTGACCCTAACTTTGGGTAACTTTACAATTGTAGGGATGTGACAAGAAAGCCATGGTGTGGGACATGCGCTCCGGCCAATGTGTGCAGGCCTTCGAAACCCATGAATCTGACATCAACAGTGTCCGGTCAGTGAGTATGATGCCCCCATCGCAGCTCTGTCCCGTCAGTGTTACCTGTCCTTCTCCTTAGCCCAGGAATCACATCCTGGGCGGAGAAAGGCCTGCCTGGGGAGAAAGGCTGGCTTGAGGTGGAACTGAACTGCACTCCAGATCTCATGGAGAGTTTTGGCTTAACTGTACAGGGAGCAATAAATAGACCCTTAAAGCAAGTCAGTGGTTGTCAGCCATCCTTTCAGCAGGTGTTTAATGAGAGTGTATTTTCTGGACCTTATTCTGACTGTTGATGAACAAGAAAGGCAAGGTCTCTAAGCCCCCAGAGGAGCTGAGCTAGACAGAGTCCAAATACTGTAACATACATACTCTGAGATCCTGAGAAGCACTCTGAAAGAAATAAATTAAGCAGGGATATTTCCCAGAGAGAGGTCAAGGAAGACCTGTGTGGGAAGGCGGCCTTCCAGCTGAGACCAAGGTGATGAGAGAGCCAGGCCTGCAGAGTTGGGGGCAGAGCACAGAGGTGAGGTGTTGGGGGGTGCTACCAAAAGGCTGGAAGTTTTGAGTTGAGGGGAGATCTGTGGCCAACCTGATCATGTTTGTCTTTTAACAATTCCTTGATCCTTGGGGCTGTGTGGTGGATGGATCACAGAGCGGGGCAAGCATGGGAGTGTGATGGCCAGTTAGAAGGGGGTTGTGTGAGTTTAAGAGGGAAAGGCCAGAACTGAGGGAGCCATGACCGACACAGATAAACATCAAGAATCAGGGAGGTCTTGAAATCTTACCCATTTGTGAGTTAACACTTCACGGGCTGCCACAGCTCATGGATGCTTGAGTCTGCCAGGTTAGAGATGAAGGACTGATGAGTAAGGCGAGAACCAGAGCTTCCTGATGGTGCTGGGTGCTTGAGCCCCATTTCTGCAGAGTGACAGGGCGGTCGATGCCTGCAGACTCAAGGAGATGCAATTCACAAGAACTCTAAGGCAGGGAACCCAAGTCTTTAATGTGGGACAGAATCGGTGATGGGCAGAAACACAGGGAGGAGCAGTGCTTGCGTATGGATTCAGGGACTCCGTTTTGGGCCTAGTTAAATTTGTGATGTCCTTAAGACCTCCAGCACCTAGATTGTATCAGGGTCTGGGTCCTGGATCCTAAACACTAAGTTGTGTCCTGCCTTACTCCTCACAACGGGCATATGTTTTAGTGTTGTCACGTTTTTAGGAAGGGAAACAGGCTGGGCCAGATGAAAAATCACTGGCCAGAAGTGTCCCCCCATATCCAGAGGACAATGTAGACATCACAAGGTTGCGCTGGACATCTGATTCCAGGGTCTGCTTTGGTAACCACCTTCTTGTCCTTGAGCCCTGAGCCATGTCTTGGGAATTAGGTGTTAGATCTGAGAAAGCTACACATACAGGGGTCTGCTGTGTGTTCAGTGTCTCCTACAAACAAGAGTACTTCAAAAAGCTCCTGGAAAATGAAACTACCAGATGTATGTTTTGCTTCAAAAAAAATGCCGAAATTCATGCATGTGAAAAAAGCATGGATTTCAGCATTGTTTGCACGAAACTAAACTTGCGTTTTAATCTCACTTTTCATGAACTTTTTAACGTACCCTTGAACATATTCCATTCTAAGTACTCCTCACCAAGACCCCACCAGGCTGGTGTCACTGCCTCCTGTTTCCTGGGAGCTCCTCCAGTTCTGCCTCAGATGTTGCTTGTGTCCGTAGGCATGAAGACCCTGATTTGGAAGGCCCAGCAGGGGCAGCCTTACTGGGTGGTCCTGACAAGTGTCCAGGAGTGAGAATGACCACACTAGCTGAAGTATTTTTCTGATCATACTTTCTCTCTGCAGGTACTACCCAAGTGGAGATGCTTTTGCTTCCGGGTCAGATGATGCTACTGTGAGTTGCTTCTTAAAATGATTTGCATGTATTTGGGAGGTAGAAAGGGAGATGGAGCTTCCATCTGCTGCTTCATTTCCCCAGTGGCCACAACAGCTGAGGAAAGGCTGGTCCCTGCTGGCAGCTCCACCTGGGTCTTCCACATGTTGGCAGGGACCCAAATACTTGAGCCTTTTCCTTCTGCCTCTTAGGGTGTACATTAGCAGGAAGTCAGACTTTGAGAAGGATGTGGGACTCAAACCCACGCATCAGGGTTCGAAATGGAATGCAGGTGTCTTAATTGCTTCCCGCCAAACACCCACCCCGATGTAAGTTTGGAAGTTGTTGAGAGCTTTTCCTAGCCAAAAGTTGAGAGATGTCAACTTAATTTTGTTTTTAAAGGATAACTTTTTAGACATAGATTTAATCATGCATATCAAATGAAGAAATTTTTAGGAAATATTTGCTTGAATCTCTGCCCGAGACGACCCAAGTTGGATGAATTTCTCTCTTTATGTGTTTAAGCAGTTTGCTTTAAATTTGCCTTTTTCGCCTAAAAGCAGAGATTGTGAACATTTTCCCATGCTACTAAACACTCCTCTGCATTATATTTTCTTGATGATTGAATAGCATTCCCTGTGTGGGCATGCTGTGGTCTGCTTGACTAGTCTTCAGTGTGGGGACATTGAGCTTTGCGCAAGGGTTTTTTTCCTTCCTGTTGAAAACATTGCTAGAGGTAAAGATTTTACACCTCTCTTGGTACTCAGAGTTCTCAAACAACTTGCTGAGCCAGAAATACACCTCATTTTATCAAATTATGTTAACTTTTCAAGAAAAAAATAAAACTTTTCTCATTGCCCTCAAACAAAAATCACATACCTTACTAGCAGTGAGCTTTAATCTAACTTGCCACAGTGGAAGCAGCTACAAAGCACTAGATTGAGAACTTAGTTAATAAGGAAACTTTTGGTATTTAATGTGTTGAAAAAGCATTAAACAAAAGGACAGACTTTTTGGAACAATCCTTGCCACATGTTTGAAGACCACGTAGAACTCCTTAGACAGGATTGGGGTTGCGTAGTCACAAGAGGAGTACACCAGTTTTTAAGAGGATGAAGTGCAGACTTTACAAAGCAGTAAATTCACTATGGTAAATGAACACCAGAAAATATTTTTAGAGTCACCTATAATCAAAGAAATGCAGCTGTAAGTGATCTGCTGCCCCTTTGTGTCTCAGATTAAGAAAAGCTGCCCCTGGGTGGAGATGCGGGCAGTGAGATAAAGGGACTGTCGCTGTGTGCCTGAAGGGAGGCCGGAGCTTTCAGCATCCCCACCTGGTACGTGGGCGTGCTGCTGCTCAGAAACAATCTGTCCTAAGGAGTCTACTCCTTGGAAGAGTAGGCCTGTGTACACATAACTTTACATAAGAATAGTCAAAAAAAAAGGAATAGTCATCATAATGTTATTTGTAGGAGAGAAAAATTAGATATAACCAAAACACCCAACAGGATACAAACCGATTGTGCTATAGCCACAAAAGGAATACACAGCGGTCATAAATAGCACTTGTACTGAAGATTAACAACACGGGAAAATGCTCCTAACACAGTGTGAACAGGTGCAAAGAAAGAAACATCCATTTAAGTAGACAAACAAGACCAGTGTTAAACCGCTGCCTGCAAGACCACATCTCACATGGGTGCTGATTTGAGTCTGAGCTGCTGTCCTTCCAATCCAGCTCCCTGCTGTTGCACCTGTGAAGGAAGTTGGCCCCAGTGCTTGGGCTTCTGCCCCCCATATGGGAGACCCTTGGGAAGCTCCCGGCTCCTGGCTTCGGCCTGGCACAGCCCTAATTATTGCAGCTGCTTGAGGAGTGAACCAATAGGTGGGCGAGGCCTGTGTCTCCCTCCTTTCTTCGCTCTGCCTCTCAGTAACCCTGCCTCTCAAATACATAAATCTTTAAAAGAGAAATAGACAAAAGCATAGTGAGATACAAGGAAACAACCTAGACAATTGTACATCCAGGATGCAACATGACTCATTTCTTTATAGATTTTCGGGTAATTGCTCAATTTTGTGTGATGAACCTGGGCCCTTTCCTGGAAAAGGGGGAAAAAAAAGTGGGGTTTCAGTTTTGGTTTAGTTGACCGTGTGCTGATGGGTAAAGATGCGTCAGGACTGAGGGGTGAAAAAATGAGAGAGAAACCTGGAGGAGGTGCCTTCCCTCATTCCTTGGGTGGCAGCAGCCCCACGGAGCTGGGGGTAAGCGCTGCCCTGCATGTCTGTGTGTCCCCAGTGTCGTCTGTATGACCTCCGGGCTGACAGGGAGGTGGCCATCTACTCCAAAGAGAGCATCATATTTGGCGCCTCCAGTGTGGACTTCTCCCTTAGCGGTAAGTTTTGCTTGCAGCAACCTGCCCTGGAACAGGGGCCAGGCCCTCAGCGAGCACCTCCCACCCCCAGCGCCCACTCTGCAGCCCGCATGAAGCTTTCAGCAGCAGCTGCCTGCGGGCCTGCGGGCTGAGCTGGACTGGCTGGACTCCTTCACCCCACCTGGCTGTGCCCCTGCCTCACACTGTCCCTCGTGGCCATGATGAGTCGTTCACACCTGCGCTCTGTTCTCCCCTCACTCACAAGGGGGCAGTTCTCAAAGGATGGGGGAGTGTGAATTGGGCCCCTTGCTCAGTGGCCTGAAACTTGGTGCTCCCCACCCTTGCCCCCTGCAGAGGTGCAACGCTGCCAGGGAGCTCCCTGGACGGGTCCCTCTCCCGGACAGCGCCTGCTTCTGCATCTGTACCTTTGCACGAGGTGGGGGAGGGGACGCCCACGCGCTCTGCCTTCTCTGCATGGGCATTCATGAGCTGACTCAGGTGGCACTTTGATTCTCTGGCTTGAGTTTGGCAAGGCACGGATTGCAACAGGACTACCAGTGATGGGTTCGTGCCTGCACTGCTGCCTCGAAGCCCCGCATGCTCTACACGCACCGGGCCCCCATCTGACGCCCTTAGCATGCAGCACTCCAGGGATCCGCCTGATTCTCAGCCTCCCAAGGCAGCAGCCACTGGCCTTCTCTCCTTGAATGCCCAGTGCCTAGCACAGGGAGTCCACTGCCTGTGGGATAAAGGAATTGCCTGAATGAGTGAGCGAATAGATGAACAAACGACAATCATGAAAGGAAAAGAGAAGGAAGGGGTTTAATAACTATCATCTGGTCCCTTGGCCAGGCCGCCTGCTGTTTGCTGGATACAACGACTACACCATCAACGTCTGGGATGTGCTGAAGGGCTCCCGGGTCTCCATCCTGTTCGGACACGAGAACCGCGTCAGTACCCTGCGGGTGTCCCCCGACGGCACCGCGTTCTGCTCGGGATCCTGGGACCACACCCTGCGCGTAAGAGAGATGGCTTTGTGTTGTGCTGGGGTGCGGGGCAAGAGAGAGAGGGCTCTGAGGAAGCAAGGCTGGTGCGCCAGACCCAGAGGTCAGCTCAGCTCCACTCTCGCCACAGGAAGAGTGGGCTGCCTGGGGGCACCAGGGAGACAGTTGGCACTCACTCCCTGTGGAGGGCATGGTTAGACCAGGCGACCAGGACATTGTTTTCAATCCTGGACATCTGAGTCTTGGGGTTCAAGCCTTTGGCACAGCGAGGCTGCCAGACTCTGCCATATGTATTGAGAGCTCCACAGACACACCAGAAGGTCGCAAAGCCCTTGAGAGGACTCGTCAACTCTGTGTGTGTGTGTGTGTGTGTGTGTGTGTGTGTGTACATATTCAGGAAAACTATGACCTTGAATTCCGCACTGCGCTTGAGGTGCAAGATCACCAGCTTCGAGAGGCCCCGTGCTGTCTCAGCAGGCATGCATGAAGCGCCAGGCCTGGGTGAAGAGGTGTTCCAGATGGGGCACATCTGCTGCACCCTGCAGGAGGGGAAGGGAGTGGCAGACAAAGGCTTCATTCTCTCCAAGTTGTCCTGATGTCTGGGAGAGTGACATTTTCTAAAGGGCCATGACTTGAGTGGCCCAGGCTTAGTAGGACAAAGAAAAGGGTTTTTGCAAATTAACCTTCCCAGGCAAGAGTATGCTCAATGAGCTCCACACAGCGAACACTTAGGGTTCAGATGATCCCATCAGACTCTCCCAGCAAGGAGGCCACAGATGGCTGCGCCCAGGTGCCTTAAGGGCAAGAGGGGTCAGGCTCCCTGGGCACCTCCGAGGCACCAGGCGCCAAGTGTTTTAAGGTCTGTGAGCTTCTGGTTTTGGATGGATGTGTGTGCACATGCACACCTGTGTGAACAGACTCTTTAAACTCCTGTTTCACAAGTTTCTAACGTGTGTGTGTTTTCACAGGTCTGGGCTTAATCCTCGTCCCATGACGCAGTCCTACGCACCTGAGGATAGGCCGTGAGCTCTTCCCTGACAAATCCCGAATCCGCCTCCCTGCCAGCAGGGCTGAGGGCTTGTTGCCACGTAGCTTAAGGGAGCAAAGTTCAGTAGGCGTCCCCAGCGTTATCACTTCCAGCCCTGGAGCACACCCGCCAGAACCTGCCAGTGTAGTGTGTTTTGATTGCTGAGCACTTTCTGATGCTTGTCTGTTTTTAAGGTCAGCCTAAATTGTCCTGGCGTCAGCTCAGGATCTTAAGCAGTAGAGTGCACCGTGTTCCCTGGAGCCCCGGTCATTTGCAGAGCACTTCCACAACCTGGCTGTTCCCGTGTCTTCACCTTCTCCCCCAAGTGCTGAGTTGGAGAACTGCACAAGACGGGCTGTGTGGATTCATCTACAACGGGAGAAAATGTCAAACCAGATGTTATTAGACAGAAGATAACTTTTAAAAAAAAAGGTGTTTTTGTTATGAAATGTCTTTCTGGGCCTCGCGTTGTCTTTTTTGAGATGAGACATTTTCAGCCCCGTGAATTTATAAATGAAGCAGAAGTGTGGGAAAAACGGACACGGGTGTCTGACCCACGACACGTGTGCTGCTATGACTCATCACTGGGACGCGGTCTGGACTTCTCTCGGAGGGCACAGTGGTGACACAAACAAGGACTTTCTGAGTGGGAGCACGAAAAGTAGATGTATTGGACACATCTCGGTCCACATGAATCTGATCCTGTAAGTTACATTTGTGTGTGTAGCACTGCCTTTGGAATTTGATGGATAAGTATTGAGTGATAGTAATAATAACCCTTGTTCTTCTCACTGAGTCAAACACAACAGAAGATGACTATCTATTTTGTATTCAGCAAGTTTTTTCTGGCTGAGACCAAGTGTTCTTGTTACTGGCTTCCTTCTTTTCCTTTCTTTCCTGATTTGTCTTATTTTACAAGAACTCATTCAAACGGCTTAGCATGTGTTGCCTGAGGAACTACAAAAAAAAGTCAATTCAGACAGCAGATATTATCCCCGGATGCAGCTGGCTGGGTCCTTGCTTGCGTGTGTGCGTGCGTGCGTGCGTGCGTGTGTGTGTCCCTGAGCACCTGTCCCTTGCGTGTGTGCGTGCGTGCGTGCGTGTGTGTGTGTGTGTGTGTGTGTCCCCGAGCACGTGTCCTTCACCCCTGAAGGCTGCGGCCTCAGCCCCGCCCTCCCCCTAGTGGCAGCTCTGGGCATAGCACAGCCTGGGCACAGGCCTGGACCTGCTGCTCCAATGGTAAATGTCAGGAACCGTGTCTGGCCACGCTCAGATCTGCTCGCTGCAGTATCTTAAAGGGTCAGGGCATGAACACTCGGGCGGGCCAGTGCTGCCATCTAGATCTGTTCAGTCGTTTGCAAGACAGATGCATCCTGAAGACTTCACCACACCTCAAGCCTGGGGAAGAACGATGGAAAAGACACCTGCCTACCTCCAAGGAGCCCAGAGTCGTGGGGGGAGCATGGCCCAGAGGAGCCAACCCTGCCCCACTCCTACTGAACTGCATGCTGGCAGTGGCTCAGGAAGCGGGCACAGTGTCTAGCTCCTGCCCCTGCTGTCGGCCCCTGATCCCGCCGGCCTTCTCAGCAGTGCATTCCTTTCCCCCTCCCCCAGACCCTTTCTGTCTGGTCCCTGCCTGGACTCAGGGTAGGCCGAGTCAGGGTGCCATGTCTGGGGACAGAGAGCAGCTGCGCAATGTGCGCACAGTGGGCCCTGAAGTCCCCCAGTCCACATATAACTCGCAGAGCCCCCGACTGCCTCCTCTCACCACAGGAGGTGCTCAGCACCCACGCAGGTGAGGTTCCAGGATTGGGGCTGCTGTACACACGTGGGGTTTCAAGGGAGGACACCCCTCCCATCTGCTTGTCGTAAGCTGTGTTTTATATATTGAAAATAATGCTGACTCTAGTTTTTAAATTAGATTTTGTTTCTAGAGGGATTGAAAGTAAATAGTGGCAAAGAGCCCCTTCCCCAGCCAGGGAAGAGAAGGTTTAGGCAGAGGAAGGGTGGAGTGAAGGGTAGACGTGGAGCCATCTGGAGTGAAAGCCAAGCATTAGTGGCCTGGAAGGGCCCCAGCAGCCTCAGGGAGGAGCCAGCAGCAGGCTGTCTTCATCACTTCCCTCCTCTGCCCTTCATCCCTGCGCCCCTCCCAGCCTCCCTAGAGGAATCCTGAGCTCTCAGGGCCTTGGTGTCCCTGGCTAAGAGAGGCCAGCATGGTGAGCAGGAGTGGGCACTGGGTTCAGCCTTGTCACTAGCACTTCCACAACACACTTGGTAAATGTGATGGCCCTCAGCCTTGGTTTCCTCATCTGTGAAATGGGACAGCACTCAGGTATGTTGAAGTACATCCTAAACATGGGTCAGTCCCCTGCTTCCCTTGCCTACCATGCCCCAGTCCCTGTCCTGTCCCTCTCCCCTTCTCCCTGGCCCTTCCTTCCACTTCCCTGCCATTTCTTCTTCTCTCCTGCCCTCTCCTCCAATCCCTCCTCCCTATTTCCCCTCCTACCTGTCCCCCTCTGAGTCCCCACTCTATCCAATTAGTAATTATCAATTTATGTAAGCCAGTGGCTCTAGAGCTTTTTGGTCTTGGGATCCCTCTGACTCTTGAAAAATGAACATCCAAAATAACTTTTTTTAAATTTATTTTTATTAGAAAGGTAGATTTGCAGAAAGGAGAGAAGGACCTGTCCATTGGTTCACTCCCCAAATTGCTGCAATGGCCGGAGCTGAGCTGATCTGAAGCCAGGAGCCAGGAACCCCCTCCAGGTATCCCACATGGGTCACGGTCATGGGTTCCCTGTGGTCACGGGTTCCAAGGCTTTGGACCGTCCTCGACTGCTTTCCCAGGCCACAAGCAGGGAGTTGGATGGGAAGCGGGGCCACAGGGGTTAGAACTGGTGCCCATATTTTATCCCAGCACTCGCAAGGGGGAGAATTAGCCTTCCATCCATCATACAGGATCCCCAAATAGCCTTTTTTGGGTGATTTCCATCCATGTGTACCACCCAAGAAATGAGGGGGTGTGGTGGGAAAGCCACCCAGACAGGGCAGAGTTGTGGAAGTATCAGGAAGATGCTTTTGTAAGGTCCGCTTCCCCCATACCCGGGAGGGCTGGCGGGGGGAGGGGATGTACATCAGCCTCCGTGCTCACGCCCCCTTTGAAGCCCTGGGCCCTCCTAGTGAGACCTTCCTGGGCTGTTAACAAGAAGCAAGGAAGGAGGAGGTGAGGATAACTGGGAAGAACTGGAACTGGCCTCCAAGCAACTGGGACTGCCAGGAACACCTGGGCTAGAGACCAACAAAGGCCTGCTGACAGCTCCTGGCACCCTGGGGTGAGCTCAGCTAATGGGCTAGAAAATGAAGGGGTGCCACCTTGCTCTTCTCCCCCAGGGAACGTTCAGTGAATAAGGACTTACAGATCATTCCCCAGGCTAATCTGCCAGTTAAACAGCCCTTCTGCACCCTCTCCTCCATTCTGGGAGATGGACTGGGTGCACTGGGCCTGGGCTTGTCTGCATGGGCCCTTTGTCCTCAAGGTGATGCTCAGCCACCTTCCTCCCATCCATCATGGGGGAGAACTGGGCCACTTCAGACTCCTGCCTTTGCATGCGTCAGCTCATGGGAGCCTGGTCCCAGCACATGACACACACATTTCATCACCATCATCATCATTATTATTATTATTATTTAGATCAGAAAACCTAGATTAGCGAGTTGAAAAACCAAGGTGAAGAGCCAGGATTCTCTTGTAACATGTATCTATTTCAAAGGCAGAGTTAGGAAGAGAGAGATCTTCTGTCTGCTGGTTCACTCCCCAAATGGCCACAAATAAGATGCTGGAGCGAGCCAGAGCCTGCCTCTCCAGAGGGGCCTGAACCTGCTCAGAGGCAGGCTGAGCTTGGCCTCCAAAGTCTCCTCTGGTGCCAGCCCGAGCCTCCTTATAGCAGTGCTGTTGGACACTTCAGGGACTGTCGGACCTGTGGGGTAGAGCAGCTCTGAAGGGTAGAGCAGCTTGAGGGCAGCCTGAACAGGCTTCCAAGGCTTCTCTTGTGCCAACCCCCAGTCCACTAGCCCACTGTGGGGCCGAAGCAGCTCACTCCAGCGTGGCTTGTGTCACAATCCAGGTGGCTTCCCGCTATAGACTGAATGGCATGCCTCCAAAATGCATTCTGTTGGAATCCCAACAGCCAACCTGACAGTAGGAGATGGGCCCTTCTGGGGTGATACAGCCATGAGGATGGAGACCTCATCAATGGGATTTGTGCCCTGCTATAGAGACCCACTCAACTCCCAGCAAGGTCACTCTCTGTACCAATTCTGTATCCATCTCAGGCCACTCAAGAGAAAGAAGCCATGGAATGATAGGAACAGAAAAAGTCTAATATAAGAAGCATTTTTAGGGCTGTCATTGTGTCATAACAAGTAAAGTCCCCCCGCAATGCCAGCATCCCATATGGGTGCTAGTATGAATCCCAGCTGCTCCACTTCCAATCCAGTTCCCTGCTAATGACCTTCGGAAAGCAGCAGCAGATGGTCCAATTGCTTGGGCAACCACATTTACATGGGAGACATACAAGCAGTTCCTGTCTCCTGGCTTAGGCCTGGTCCAGCCCTGGCCATTACAGCCAAATGGGGGGGGTGGGGGTGAGCCAGTGCATGAAAGATTTTTCTCTTTGCCTCTTCCTCTTTCTGTAACTCTTTCAAACAAGTAAATAAATAAATAAACTTCAGAAAAGTACTTAACTATAACGAGATTATTGTAATAAGGGATTGGCCAATAAAGGGTAAGGAGAACATTGAACAAGATAGGGATGACACACCGTCTCTTCTATGCTGAGAATGAAGCTGCCTGGGGCAGCTCATCCCCTTGTCTACGCCCCATTGCTCGGCCTTGGGTCCCTGAGAACACAGGTGCTGTTGTCCATCCCATCTCCATGCTAACAGGGGAGGCCGAGCACCCCAGGGACTCTCTGAAATGTGAGTGCATGAAGGAGGCCCCAGAGAACTCGCCTGTCTCCCCCCACCCGAGCAAGGTAATAGCAAACCATCTTCAACATGCCTGGCTGCTCCTGTTGCCATCTGGAGATCCTGGATCACAGTGCCCAGGGCCTCGGGGCAGGGCTGGGGAGAGCCCTTGTCAACTTCTCCAGAGGGCAGGTGTAGGGTGCAGAGGCTAAGATGCAGCTGGAAACACCCACCGCCCGCCTTTGCCTGGATTCTAGTTCTCGCTACACTTCCCAACCAGCTTCCTGCTGATGCCTGCCGGGAGAGAGAACAGGTAACAGCTTATGTACTCTGGTCCCTACCATGTGTGTGAGATATGTGGATCAAACTTCTGGCTGCTGGCTTTTGCCTGGAAGTGAACCAGTAGATGGGAGATTTCTCTGCCTTTTAAATAAATATGTTTAAAAATTGTTTTGCAGCCAGCACTGGCATATTGAGTAAAGCCACCGCTGACAGCATTAGTATCCCTTATGGGTACTGGTTCAAGTCCTGGCTGCTTCACTTCTTATCCAACTCCCTGCTAACTGTGCCTGGGATAACAGTGGAGGATGGCTTAGCTGCCTGGGCCCCTACATCCATGTGGGAGACCACAAAGAAACTCCTGGCTTCAGCTTCCCTTGTTGCAGCCATTTGGGCAGTGAACCAGTATGAAAGATTCATATTCTCTTTCTCTAACTTTGCCTTTCAAATTAATATATTTATATGTGTATAATTTTTAATATATATATTTTACAAGAGTCAAACCCAGCTCAACTTGACCATCCCTCAGATTCTTAGTCCCCAGGCCCAGAGCAGAACAATAAGCCCAGCGAGCCTCGCAGCACACCTGATTGCTATAGGACACACGTGAAAACACGGCCAAGGCCGGGCCTCACCCTCGCGACAGTATTAGGTTCAGCTGGGACTCCCATTAAAGCCTCCACTCCCGACCCTGAAAAACGAGGGCTGGGCAGCTAGCTAGGGGCTGGAGGTGGGGGTTCCAGCCGCGGCCAGCCATGGCGGACGATTTGAAGGAGCGCACGGCACGCCTGCTCACCGACTACCTGGAGTGCTGCGCCCGCGAGCCCGGCACTCCCGAGCCGCAGCCCTCCACGCCCGAGGCGGCCGTGCTGCGCTCCGCGGCCGCCCAGCTGCAGCGGATCCACCGGCCCTTCTTCTCCGCCTACCGCGGCTACCCGGGCAACCGCGTGGAGCTAATGATGCGCGTGGTGGAGGCCGTGCTCCCCGACGGCCACGACCTCAGCTGGGGCCGCGTGGTGACGCTCGTGACCTTCGCCGGGACGCTGCTGGAGAGAGGGCCGCACCTGACCACCACGCGGTGGCAGAGAAGGAACGAAATTGCCCGGGACTGCCAGCGCCTCGTGACCTTGCTGTGCACTCGGCTCACAGGGCAGTACCGTGCCTGGCTGCAAGCTCAAGGAGGCTGGGTGAGCACAATGCGTCCATCGGGGCCCAACGCGGGGGATCCGGGAGGCGCCCTCGAGGCCAGCCCTGGGTGGAACCGGGCAGTGCCACCAGCTGGTCCCTCCCCTGCTCCCTCAGGCCAGATCTCTTGAAAGCAGAAAGGCTGAAGGGGTGGGGTACTGAAATATTCGGTAGGAAGGCCTGCGTGCCTCTCTCTCTGCAGCCTGTTGACAATGTATGTCAACACTGGGCATTTTGCTAGGCACCTGTCAGCGTTGTTGGCTAGTTCTCTTAGGCACCCGTGACTCCATTCTTGTCCTGGCCCTAGGCTGACCCGCCCTCTCGGACTTGGTTAGGTCTAGAAGCATTGCCCCCCTAAGAGATTCCAACTAGTAAAGTCAACTACAGCCTAGTACAAACCGCGTGGATTTTTTTTTTCTCTTCCGTGTGTTAAATGCTCCTGGGAGGGACTTGGGGGTTGATGACGGAGCGCTGGAGGTCCGAAAGAGTGAGAGTAGAAACGCAGCTCCCTGTTTAGCCCCCACACCTCTCAGGCCAGATGGGTGCAGAAGTGTGCACAATCACCAAGAGGGCGCGCTGAGTTGAGCTGCTTTAACTTGAATAGAGTGGCTGCCCCTTGTCCACAGTGGGGCTGTCTCCAAGCTCCTGCTTTCAACCGTGATCTGACCTACAAGGCCCTTTGCTTAGACAGTGATGGAGGAAACCTACCTTGAGGGGTGGCTGCAGCCAGGCTCGTAGGGCCCAGGCTAGACCCCGTATATCTGCCTGGTTGAAGTTGAACGCATGACTAAAGTGATCTGTGGTGCAAGGTGGACATAGCCAAGTTGTTAAAAGCAATGATTTCAAAGGGTCCGACATGTCACCTCTGAAGGCAGTTCCCACTGAGAACTCCCGAGGGGATGAGCTGGGGGAAGGGCAGCAGCAAGGGGTGGGAGGAGGGTCTGTGTTGTTTGTGGGGCTGTGCTGGTCCCTTCAGGTGGGCCCCAGAGAAGACCAGCTGAGTCACAGGTCATGCCAAGGTCCCGGCCCCCTCAGGAGCACTGAGGCAGGTGGGGGTGGTTCATTCTTACTTTGGGGGATGATCAACACTGTGTAAGGAATGACCTCTGCAAGGAAACGGGACTTCTGTGGTCCGGACGGATGCCCCCGTGGCCTCTTGCTGCCTGAGTCCCTTCCTAATCAAAGCGGCTGGCATCCATGGTTCTGGTGATGACCTGTGATCCGTCTGCTTCCCAGTGGCATCTTTTCGCCCAGACTAGAGCATGCTCCAGGAATCCACCCTCTTGCCTAGGGGTCCGTGTGAGTGTTCCCATTCTGACAGTCAAACAGTTGCTTCTCTCCACCGGGTTAGACTATGTATAGAAATCCTGACTCATCAAAGGTTCCTAGCTACAGGTTGCTTATTGATCAGAATGTATTTATGTTCTAAACTTTTTCTTTTCACCTTCCTTGAAATGGAGACAGATCTCCTGCTGGGTCACACTCCATCCCCCGCCCCCAAGCCTCCATCTTGGCCAGGCCTAAGCTAGTAACCCAGCATCCCACTGAGGTCTCCCACGTGGACGGTAGGCATCCAGGTACTCGAGCCATCACCTGCTGTCTGCCAAGGTGTGTGTGGGTAGGAAGTTGGAATTGGAAGCAGGGGAGCTGGGACTCCAACCGGGCACTCTGCTGCGGAGTACACATGGTCCCAGTGTTGACATACATTGTGCCCAATGCCTGCCCCCCTCTTCACTTGCTTATCCACGAGCTTGTTGTTGTTGTTGTTGCACCTGACTCTCCTTGGTGCCTTAGTTGTGGTTTGGGGCCTTGGGAAGCCGTCTAATTCTTCTCTCCTCCTCCCCCTTGTAGGACGGCTTCTGTGCCTTCTTCAGGACCCCCTTACCACTGACTTTCTGGAGAAGAGTGCTGGTCCATGCATTTCTGTCCTGCTTGCTGGCTACAGCCTTACTCTATTTCTGGACACGAGTCCTGCATCATGCGTAGTAAGCATTTCAGCCCATTTCTAACTGCCAAACTGTGGCCAACCAAGTGGAGACTGAAGACATGAGAAGGAGGCAAGCATTTTGCCGAGACATTGCTGCCTCCTTGCGTATGAGTCTTGGGGTCGTGGTGTGGCCCATGTCTTAACTCATGGCAAGAACACAGAGGCCTTGGCGAAGAGTAGTCCCTTGAGCAAAGAAAATGGGGAGTCCAGAAGCTCTAGAACAAACTGCATTCCATCCTGTAGGAAACCAGGTGCCATCTGCTATATTTCAGTACCTCCTCCATCTCTCCATGATTTTATGCGCTGCTACTGCTGATTCAGGGCAAACGGTCCAGAGTCAAGATGCTCCCCAAGGCAGTCTGAATTCCATTCACAAGAAATGTAAGACCTTTCACATGGAATTCTTTAAAAATCTAATGCCTGGGACTTGCAAGTTTTATAGAGCTAATATATCATTTTTATGACTCAATTTTAAATAAATTTATATATTTTTTAAAAGCAGTTGATTTTACTTTGGCTTAGTACACCTTTGCTGTTCTTAGGGAACAGTTAATAGATGACAGTTTCCTTTTTATTGTATCTTTAAATAAACAGCTGTGATGTGTTATTTTAAATACTTATAAAGTGTGTTGATTAAGTTCATCTTCCAGCCCAGCATTATGGCTTGACTAAATCTTCACTTATAAGCACCAGGATCCCATATGGGAAATGGTTCATGTCCCAGCTGCTCTACTTCCCATCCAGCTCCCTGCTTGTGGCCTGGGAAAGCAGTCGAGGACGGCCCAAAGCCTTGGGACCCTGCACCTGCTTGGGAGACCCAGAAGAAGCTCCTGGCTTCTGACTTCGGATTGGCTCAGCTCCTGCCTTTGTGTCCACTTGGGGTGTGAACCAGCAGATGGAAGACTTTTTTCTGTCTTTCCTTTCTGTAAATCTGTCTTTCCAATAAAAATAACCAATTAAAAAAAAGTTCTTCCATTGTGCAGTCACCCTTTTGCCTGCAAAGTAAATAGTGCAGTGCCCTCCACCAGCCACCCAGGGCTTTTTTTTTTTTAAAGACTTATTTTTATTATTTTTATTTTTATTGGAAAAGCGGATATACAGAGAGGAGAGACAGAGAGGAAGATCTTTCGTCCGATGATTCACTCCCCAAGTGAGCGCAACGGCCGATGCTATGCCGATCCGAAGCCAGGAGCCTCTTCTGGGTCTCCCACGCGGGTGCAGGGTCTCAAAGCTTTGGGCCGTCCTCGACTGCTTTCCCAGGCCACAGGCAGGGAGCTGGAAAGGAAGAAGGGCTGCCGGGATTAGAACCGGCGCCCATATGGGATCCCGTGCGTGCAAGGCGAGGACTTAACCACTGTGCCACCGCGCCGGGCCCGACCCAGGGCTTCTTGACACTTGAATTTTACATGGCCAGACCTGTGCTCCCTATGTAGGAGTTCACCCTCTTCAGTACATGAACCAGCCTCGCTCTTGTGGTGGTGGCTGGAGCTTTCTCCAAACACTCCAGTACTCTGCATTATGGAGTCATTACCCTCCCCTCCCCGCCAAGGCTTTTAGAAACTACCTAGCATGGAATTTTTGTGTGTGTCTTGTCCTGCATATATGTGTGATTATGCCATCAAAAGTCCTCAAATGAGAACCGGAGTCACCATTTACGTATAAAGTTGGGCTACTACCAAGTGATTATTCAATGTAGAATTTGCCGGTTAAAGCTTATCACCGGACCAGTGGATGGGAGGGCTTGGCGGACCAATTTGCAACACTCTGTACTGCATTCTGTTGAGTATGTTTTCCTACGTTAATAGCTGTATCTCAATGACTGGGTAGTCACAGTATGTTATAAGCTCTGTTGGGCTAAGTCCCCTCCCATTGTTCTTTAAAAAAAAAAAAAACTGGGCTCTTTTTGTGTTGTAGAAAGTGAATTTTTAAAAATGAGCTTATCAAGAAGGTATGCACACATTGATTTTTGGAAGAGATTGTATCAGTCTGAGAATGCCTACTGTCTTCACCGCCTTCCCATGTAAGAACACAGGCTTGTGCTTGCTTCGGCAGCACATATACCAAAAGAACGCAGCCTTGTCTGTCTGTCTGGGTCTCTGATGGTTTTGTTTGTTGTAGGTTCTGCGTCCTTACCTGATGTGTTTGACTTCGGCCTTCATGGCTACAGGGAATACAACAGCAGTGAACGTTGTTGGCCCTTCCTTGGTGACCTCTTCCTTGGTGACCTCCTGAGTCTATCACTGAAGTTCATTCCACTGTTCTCAAAAATTTCTTTAATTTTTTTTTTGTTCTTTTAAATATTTGTTTTCGGCCTGGCGCGATAGTATAGTGTTGTGTAAGTCGTGAATGGTGGCGATGCCTGTTTGCTAACAAGCAGGAATCCTCGTGATGTCTGGTCTGTGGGTGGCTGTCTTTTCTTCGCCTTAGCACCGTGGGAGCACGCAGACGCAGGCGGAGTGGCAGTGCCCACATCAACTCTGGCCTGGGCTCACTCAGATTCTCAGAGTCAGATTCTTGAAGGTCTAGGGCCACTCAGGGTAATCCTCGGAGGTAGGAAACCCTCTCCTAAAAGTGAAAGTCAGCAGACAGTAGAGAGATGTTTTTGTTTTTTGTTTGTTTGTTTGTTTGTTTGTTAGAGGTTTTTGTTACTTTCATTGGAAAGGCGGATTTACAGAAAAAGATCTTTCATCCACTGGTTCACTCCCCAAATGGCTGCAACAGCTGGAGCTGAAGTGATACAAAGCCAGGAGCCAGGAGCTGCTTCAAGGTCTCCCACACAAGTGCAGGATTCCAAGGCTTTGGACCATCCTTGACTGCTTTCCCAGACCTCAAGCAGGGAGCTGGATGGGAAGTGGAGCAACTGGGATATGAACTGGCACCCATGTAGGATCCCAGTGCATGCAAAGTGAGGATTTAGCCACTAGGCTATTGCGCCAGGCAAGCTGCTCCACATTCAATCAAGCTTGCATCCTGATGCATGCAAGGCAAGGATTTAGTCACTAGGCTACCATGCCAGGCCCTAGGAGTGGTTTTGACTATGTTGCCTAGCCACAAGATAATGATTTTTTCCGATGTGTTTAGCCCAAGGTTTTCCTGCATCTTCAGTCTCCATTTCTTCACTTGCATTTTTCCTATGACCCTGAAATCCCTTGGCAGCCCGTGGCCTCTCTCCCCGCTGCTTGCTGCTTCCCTGGCCCACACCACCGCCACTCCCAAGGTCTGCTTTTCTCTCCAATCAGGAAGTGTTCTCCCCTCCTGCCAGCTGCCCTTCTGTTTCCTGTCCTTCAGGACTGAGAAACTCCTCCTGGCCCTCCATGTTTCATTCTTACACACCCCTTAAGCACCCGCAGAGCTGCTGCCTAGACATTGTAAAAGAATTACTGCAGAGTAGCCTTTTGTTTGGGACTGTGCGGGTTCCTCACTGCCTCCAGCGGTAATGCCCAAACCCTCTGATCTCGCTCTCCTGCTTTATTCGCCCACTTTCTGCCAGGCTGCCCACTGTCTCTGGATTCATTCTCTCAGTCTTTGGTTTGGTCACACGTTTCTGCACCAATGCAGTGCTTTCTCATCTTCCACCTCCACTTGTTGAAGTTCTTCAATACCTACATTCACTTCCGCCTCCTCAGTGCAATTTCAAGAGTGATTGATGGCCTTGGTACTATGCACCCATACCCTCGCTGGTGTCCTTGCGGGTGTGAGGATATTACTTTCCAACCAGCTTCTTGTCTCACATACAGATCAGAATTCTAAATGGAGGCAGTGTGAGATGCTCAAGTAGGACTGGAGGTATTTAGCAGAACACAGTTCCATGAGAGTGTGCGCCAGCCACCTCCCGTGAAGAGTCATCCATGCTGAGTGTGCCAGCACACTGCCCAGGGGTAGAGAGAGAAAGAGAAAGCCAGAGTAGTACCCCCAAGCATGGTCAATACTCTCCCCTCATTTTTAGTCTCTTAAGAGGTAAGAGGAGATACGCTGGCACAGATGAAGCCAGTTGGGAAGTTTGATGCCTCCGTGAACTGCACAGAGCCTAAGAACCATAGATCCTGGGCATGGCACATAGATCAATGGCTAAATCCTCCCCTTGCAAGTGCCAGGATGCCATGTGGGTGTCGGTTTATGTCCTGGCTGCTCCACTTCCCATCCAATTCCCTGCTTGTAGTCTGGGAAAGCAGTAGAGGATGGCCCAATGCCCTGGAATCCTATACCCACGTGAGAGAATTAGAAGAAGCTGCTGGCTCCCGGCTTCTGGCTTCAGATCAGCCTAACTCCAGCCATTGCGGATATCTGGGGAGTGAATCAGTGGATGGAGGATCTTTTTCTTGGTCTATCCTTCTCTCTGTAAATCTGATCTGCCTTCCAGTAAAAGGAGAAAAAAAATTCATAGATCCTCATTGCATCTCCCCTTCACATTCTTGCATATGGTGTAAGGGCATCCGGGGCAGGTGGATATCTTTGATTAGAAGATAAAAATAGCAAGAGCCAGAGGCAGGAATCAAACCGAGGTACATCAGTGTGGGACACCAGAACCTGAGCTGCTAGGCTACACTCCTACTCCACGACACACTTATTAAAAGAGGTGGACAAGGACCAGTGACAGCATGCCCTGGGCTAAGCCGCTGCCTGAGATGCCAGATCCCATAACACAGTTTGAGTCCTGCCTGCTTTGTTTTCCAGTTCAGGTTTGTGCTAGCTCACCTGGGAAAGCAGCAGGAGGCGGCCCAAGTGCTTGGGCCCTGCCGCCCGCCCGTGTCAGGAACAGGAAGGGAATTCCAGGCTCTTGTCTTTGACCTGATCCGGGCCTCGTCAGTGTGGCCACTTTTGTCCCTCTTTGTCACTCTGCCTTTCAAACAAGTAAATCTAGAAAAAGAAGATGAGGCATCCTAGACCCAGGAAACATTGAAGCCAATAAACACTAAGAATATATGAAATCTAAAATGTTCGCTTGACTGTAGTTCACCATCTCTGTTAGTCGGGGATACTCCAGACCTAATGCTCAGGC